GTTACAAGCACATGTCATACCTACGTGTTTCTTCTATGAAATTTGTTGATCTGAAAAGCCGAGTATTTTTTTTTTTTTACTAGATCCTATAATACATTTTATGTGTGGCCAGAAAATGGGCACATACAAGCCCTACATTCACTCTCTCATCCCACCAAGCATTGCTAACAATATTGCCTGTCACTTCTGTGGAACGGCCCAAAGTAAATCTCAGGTGCCCACATTGAATGATGTTGTTCAGGATATTCAGCAGCATCAGTTGTTCGTATAGGAATATTAGCAATAACATTGATATTCTATACTCAGATGATTCTGCAAATGCTTCAGCATCAATGACATCAATTCACAGCTGCTTAGGCTATGAAGCATAGATGTAGAGGGAAGGGAGTTAAATTTCACTAAATTACAGGAAACACTACCATTAGGTCCGAGTGTGAATCATAACATTCTTACTTGTGTTTATCTTACTTGTTACACCCCAGTCCTAAGCATGTTTACTGGGAAGTAAGTCCTACTGTGTTAAATGGGGTTTACTTCCTAGCAAGTCTGTATACAAATGGAACACATAGCACCTGTTTTGCAATCTGTTAACCACAAGCTCTGTTTGCAGATTGTTGAGTCTTACAGATTCAGTTCTCAGGAGATGGCTAAAGGGTTAAGAATGCTGTTGCTTACTCCAGATTATACAATTATGACATTTGCAATGGAAATATGAAGGTCTGATTCTTGCTGAATAGGATATCCTTCACTTATTAGCAGATAAATGGCACTACCTTGTTCAGGTCACATTGTTCATCTTAAGAGATGCTCGTCACGCCTGAAACAACAGGACTGCTGCCCCCTTGTGCTGTCAGGAAAAGCACTTGAACACCAGGTTTAATTGCCCTTTCCATTGCGTCCAACCACCTCCAATCAAAGTGCTGCTATTAATTGTGACAGCTGACAAGAGCTATTAGAGAGGAATCCAGGCATGGATTCAATAATATAAACCTGTACTTGTCTAAATGCAGCGGCACACTTAAATTGCAGGGAAATGTATTTTCCCACCTCCAGTTTAAAATGGGAAACAGACCTGAACAGTTTGATCTAGTCTTTTCCCTTCAGAAAAGTTCACTGCTTGTGATTCTATAGAAGATGCTGCCTGAGTTTACTTCTTGACTGGACAAAGTCCATGGAGTCTGTGAGACTTACAGAGATATGCATTAATGAATCAGGAGTGACTGAATCATCCAATCACACTCCTAATGCAGAGATATGGCAGAATTATCTGAACTGATTGACTGACTCTGCTTACGGTAGAGAATTGGAGAAATAAAGGTGATGAAGAAATGTAAGAAATGTTAGCAGAACCTGTAAGGGATAATAAAGGAGTATGCAATTGACAGTAATGACAGTACAGTCCTGGGAATGGAGGGAGTGTGAGAAAGAGACTCAAAATAATCCTGCTTTGATTATCTTGGGCAGAAAAAAACTCTGTAGGCTTTCAAGACTCCATTATTGTATCCTATAACAGTAGAGTTCCAGCAGTTCTTGTGGTATCTGTTTCCCAACCTGGCCTACTTGAAGGGCTGACACTTATCCAGATTAGCCCCTGGATTCTTCTGGCCTGGAAGAATGTAAAGAGTAATATAATGTGGTATCTCCAAGTTCTGAGATGTTCCTGTATCTCTGATTATTCTTTGGTCTTGATATCTGCCTAGTTTCTTGATAATCTTTTCTCTTGGAGAGGATCTTGTAACGTAATGAACCGGACCTAGCCAGCTTTGGCTAATCTCAAAAAATATTAAGCAGGATCAGACTAGTTAATATTTGTATGGGAGATCACAGGAAAGTCCAGAACTGTAGGCTAGACTGGGAAGTAGGGGGAAAAAATAATTGAAGAAGGCAGCAATAAACCAATTCTACAATATCACCAAGGAAAACTGCACATCCATGGTTCATTCCAGTTTGAAGTGAGGGAGTCTTTAATCTTTCAGTTTGTTCCAAAGCTGGTTTTCGGATCATCTCAAATGCAGCCCATACTCCATTCATGTTTAGAAAGAAGGCTAAAACAGTGATTAATTCAGCTAATGTCCTTTCTGGATTACCATTTGAAGCTCAGTCAAGCCTTTAAATTAAAATCTCACTGCAGGGAGACCATTCTCCTGCATTCTGCCAGCTGCCAATGAGGTTTAAAAAGAAGAGCTATCAACTTAAAAGGTGCTTAGGAAGTAATGAGCCTGGAGCCTAAGGCCCTATATTATGGCAGGGAGACTTTTTTTTTTCTTCCTAGCATTTTTCCCGCAGGTGCAGGGTCTGCTTTTTTCAGATCAACCAAATGTTGATCCATTAGTTGTGCAGGAATTGACCAACTGGCTTGTCACCTGAGCCTGACGTCCTTGGCTGAGAGAGAGTGACTGGCCCAAAGTCACCCAGCTGGCTTTCATGCCTAAGGCAGGACTAGAACTCACCATCTCCTGCTTTCTAGCCTGGAACCTTAACCACTAGACCAAACAGGCTCTCAAAGAAGATGGAGGGAACTCACAGAGTGAAGCAAAAAGACTACAACACCCAGTATTCACAGGTAGTCTCCCACCCAAGTACTAACCAGGCCTGATCCTGCTTAGCTTCCAAGATCAGACAACATCAGGCATGTTCAGGGTGGCATGGCTGTAGACATTTTGTCAAGGACACTGTGGAATTAAATTCAAACAGCAGTTTCCCTATTACAGTAACTGCCCATCAGCTGTTTTCCTGGTCCAGACCATAGCTTCAGAAAATAGCTTCAGCTATATACATTTGCTGAATGCTGATATGCTTAACAAGGCACCTATAAGCATAGAGCAACAATACAAATCACTTTATCAAAAGTATGTTGATTAAAATAGAAAAAAATCTTATGGCCTATGCAGGATGCTACATTTCTTGTTATAAATGGTCAGTGGCAAAAGTCAGTGCAGGGTGGGAAAACTCTTCCAGTCAAGTGGAGCAGGGATGGAGAATCCCCAACCAAGTTTCAAAGGGGGTGTTATAATCTATTTAAAATATTTTCCCCCCATAGTACAGGTCTATTAGACAGCCAGTTTAGTGTAGTGGTTAAGACATCAAGCTAGAAACTAGGAGATTGTGAGTTCTAGTCCTGCCTTAGGCACAAAGCCAGCTGTGTGTCCTTGGGCCAGTCATCTCAGCCTCTCAGCCCTAGGAAGGAGGCAATGACAAACCACTTCTGAAAAACCTGGCCAAGAAAACTGCAGAGACTAAAGAGTAAACAATGACTGAAGGCACCAACCCCCTCCCTTCCCCCCCAGTCCATTAGTCCCTGATGTTTCTTATTTGCAGCCCCCTCCCCTCTGCTACACGTGATCAGAGTGTGACAATGTGCATTATCAGTTCAGCTCAATAAAGGGATATAAGTAAGCTGGTGCAAACACAGGAAAAATCAATTTCTGTTTCCAGATGAACAAGGACATATTGACCCAAAGAAAGCATAGAAAGTTGCACTTCCTACCTAGGTAACTGCCAGCATATTAGTAGAAAGAAGAAACATAAAACCACAGACATATTGTAAAGGTGCAAGTTAGTTAAAAAAAAAAAAAAGTTAGCAATGAATAAGATAAACCAAATGAAAACATTGCCTTTCATTGAATAAAACATAAGTTAATGTGCATTACCATAAAATCTATATGAAACGAGAAGTCTACTCTCATCATAACCTAAGTGAAATACACAAGCAACTGGTTCCAAAGTACAGCTTTTACCATCAGAACATGATCACAAGGCCTGCACACTTCAACTCTTAGCCTGGGGCTGTCAGTTACACAGGCAATGAAAATCAAAACTTTTAACATCCTTAAATCTAAATATTCAGAAAGAAGATACTCCAACCCTGAAAGTACAAGAGGTCATAATGTTATATGTGAGCTGAAAGGATAAAATAAGGAACTACTCACGCTGAGCAAGAAGAACAAAGGCCCACAGCAGAGATGGAAGGCTAAGCTAAAAAAATCAAACACAAAGAATGGTCTCTGAGCTTTATTAAAGTGATCGGCAACTAAGTCACCTGAGACAGTATTGTCTCAGAAGAGGCCAGAGTTGAAACAAGCAAATAAACATTATCACATTAATCAGATGATCATAACTGAATTTCCTTAAGGATGTATTGCTGTGCCATTGGAGATGGGGAAATATAAGTTGCCCATAGTCACTGAAAAGGCAAATTATTAACTGTAATTGTTCAATGCAGATGTTTCATCATTTTATTCAATATCTTCTGCTTTCATCTGTAGGTAAGACATATGTATTTATGGAAAGGATGACATATATAATGTGCAATGCCTTGATTTACGTGCGTGCACACGATGTCATGACATAGGAGTATGATTGCAGTATCTGCAAGTTGAGTCATTGCACACATCATCATTTTGATGTTTTGTTAAGATGCCACTGGACACAGCACTAAAATAATCTGGATTTTAGAGTTGACTAGAATAAATTCTTGGAATTTTAACAAATGGCAAAACAAGATAAGTGTAGTAGACTGATATTTCTTTAGAGCTACAGTAAGACTGGGTAGTTGATTCTTATTTCCCCTACCTGTCCACTTGTTAATAAAATGAAATAAATAGGCAGAAGAAGCCTTTTATGTTCTGCTTTTAACGAGTGAAACTAAGTTTAGAAAGATGCATGTGGAATTCCCTATTATTAGTAGAAAGTTAACATTGAAGTAAAATGTATACCAGTTCAATATAGTACAACTGACAAGTGCAACAGTGGATTTGAGAGTGTTGATCACTGTGCATCTAAACAAAGTCAACAGTTTAGCAACAAAAACTGTGGAGGAACCAACAAACCTGTGTGTGAAATGGTACATGCCCAGTCCAGTGCAAGACTTCATCCCATCCCACAGCTTACTCTTTTGGCAAGCAACAGTAGAAATGGAAGTTCAGCTACTCTGAAATTCCTATGATGACTCAGTACAGCATCATTGCCTAGAAACTTCAAATGGGCACTATAAAAATATTTGTTAGTTTGTATATATAAATAGTTGATGAGTAAACTATTACAATACAACCTATTGGCTTGACCATTGTATGCTTTGTGAGCATATTAATTGTATCTAGGGTTAGGGTATATCATGTCTGGTGAACCCAGCATAGGGCCTGTAAAATATTTTCAACCTTCTGGCAATAACTCAAAGAATTAACTCACACTGTTCAGAGCATTCTTGAATCATCTGAAATCATTCCTAGGCCTTACCTGGCAAGGTGCTGAAGAAATAGAAGGTCTGTGCATATATTCATAGAGATACTTAGAACAGCGCCCTCTGAATGGATAAGTTATTTCTCCAGGGCCGCATGATTCTACAGAAATCTGGATTTGAATCCTCTCCAGTTCTAAAAATACTGCAATTTCACTTAGCACTGCAGAAGAGAGGTACAAATTTAAGAAAAACAATGAAATCTACATTACTGTACTATCTTCCAGCTCAACAGTCTAGTTTACTGAAGTGGTTAAATTCAAACAGGTTTACCTTTTTGGATTCCTCATTTTGTTTGAGAAGTCCAAATTATGTTCTTGCTAGGTTATAGATACTGAATGAGGGTTTTTTTTTTTGTTCCCAGTGCATAATTTTGGCTTAACTGCAATTATTTAGCTTCGTTGGACCTGCGGATTAGGGAGCAAATGGCTTAATATTATGATGTGGCATTCACTGTGGGCCTCATTGTTGGCCAAGTACATGAGTCATCCAGTATCATGTTGGTTTATGTAACTTACCCAACTAAACTGTCAATATTTGCAACACATTATTGTGTACTAGAACACAAGGGACTACTTCACAGATACTAATCGTAAATATCCCACACAAAGATATTTCCATTCTGTTAAAAAAGGTGGACCATTATGATAATTTCATAAGATTCATGATCTTCATCTCCTCCCAAATACCCAGCCAGATGGCAGCATCCACCTGATCTTGCCTGACATCTGAGTCAGTCTTGAAAAAAGCTATGAAGGGTGAGATCTGGTTAAGCTATAGGCTAAACTGGGAAGATCACAACAACCACAACAAAACCCCACAACCTAGGAAATCAGTGGCAAACCATTTCAATATTGTTACCAAGCAAATGTGTGGATATTTCTATGTAATCACCAGGAGTCTAGCTCAATGCATGGGAATGATATCTTTTATTGGAGATTAATTTGGTATATGCATGTAGGTAGGTATAAAATCTTCTTTGTGCCCTCAGCATAATATGTAAAGCATATATCTATTATTTTAACTGAAGTGGTAAGCTGGAGGCAGGGAAAAAACAAAATCAACAAACCTTTAAACACACTCATGTGGGGGGGGGAGGGAGGAGGAGGAGGGGAAGGAGGAGAAAGGGTCCAGTCTTAATCTTTCTCTGGAATGTCACATGTCTATCTACAGAAAATCTGTGTATACTTGGAAGGAATTGTTTGTATGATCCACAGGTAATATGCATCATGTCATGACACAGAAAGTGCAACTAACATATTCACATCAGATGCCAGGATGCAAGAACATAACTGCAGGATTTGCACTGTTATGTCACTGCACATCTTTCATCATTTCACATAATCTCATTTTGCTGCAGATACCTATGAATAATCCAATATCTGAAGACTGAGACTGGGGAGCATATTTTAACTATTCTATATAAACTAGGGCTAAATTGCAAACGAAAAAATCCTTTTACTGTTCATATTTGAACTCAATAGGTGGCCATTGAGCTAAAGTATTATTGGTGGTTGCACAGTCAGCCAGATGTTTAGACTGGATTTGGCATTTTTATCCACCTACTGAGTCCTTCCCAAGGACCTGGGATAGGCAGATGTTGTTGTTTGATGGTGTTAAAGGTATCAACGCAGGATGTAAACTGTTCCAAGTAAAGCTACCTTGACGGATGGTGATTTTGTCAATGCCGATGGTCTTCAGGTGGTTTGGGATGGCACCAAAGGTGCCTATTACTACTGGTACTATCTTGGCTTTCTTTTGCCACAGTTGTTCTATTTGTATTTCCAGGTCTTTGTATTTTGCGATTTTCTCCAGTTCTTTCTCAAGACTTTTTTTGTCTTTTTTATCAACAGTTGTCTGGGGTGTATTATTATTATTATTATTATTATTATTATTATTATTATTATTATTTCCAACTCAGCAGAATGTGGGACAATGAAGGAATACTGTTAAGAGAGAATTTAGTTGATTATGTGCCATGAAGTTGATGTCAACTCTTAGTGACAACATACATAGAGTTTCTCCAGGATGATCTGCCTTCATTGTAGTCCTTCAGGTTTTTCAATGGTGCACTCATTAAGTTAATATTAATGAATTCAGGTCTCCAGGGCCAGATGCATTAGATCTCAGGATGCTGTAAACTAACAGAGGTGATCACAGATTCATTCTTGGTAATCTTTGAGAAGTCCTGGAAGACTGGTAAGGTCTGAAAAGACTGGAGGAGAGCAAATATTGTCCCCATCTTCAAAAAGGGGAAGAACAAGGCCCTGGAAAACTACAGATCTGTCAGCTTGATGCCTATACTGGACAAGGTCTTCAAATTGACTATCAAGCAGCATGTTTGTGTACAGTTCAGATAGGCATGCTACAATTAACAAAAGCCAGCATGGGTCTGTCACAAAGAAACTCTGCCAGACTAATCTCACTTCCTTTGATAGAGTAATTAACTGAGTAGAACAGGGCAATTAAGTAGACATAGTGCACACAGAACTCAGCAAAACATTCAACAGAGTGCCTCGTGATAGTCTTCTTCATGCAATGGCAAATTTGGGCTAGATGATACCACCGTTGGATGGACTCACATTTGGTTAAATGACTGCACAGAAAAGAGTGCTCATTAATAGGTCCAGTTTAGCTTGAAGGGAAGTTATCAAGTCAAGTGCCACAAGGCTGGGCCCTGGGCTGTTCAATGTTTTTTATTAATGATTTGGATGATGGATATGGGGGCAGCTTATAAAAGTTGCAGATGACAAAAACTAGGAGAGGTTGCTAATATTTTAGGTGGAAGAGAGCAAATTCAAAAAGATCTAGACAAGCTTGAGCAATGAGCTGAAATGAATAGATGGAATTTAACAAGGAGAAAAGTAAAGTTTTGAAACTAGGTTGGAAAAGTTGTAAGGAACAAGTATGAAATGGGGAGGCCTGGCTTGGCAATAATACATATGAAATGGATCTGGATGTCCTTGTCCACCAAAGTTAAACATGAGCCAACATGTGATGCAGCTAGTAAAAAGGCAAATGCCATCTTAGGGTGCATCAACAGGAACATAGATCATACAAAGTTATTGTTCCATTCTGCTGCCATCAGATTCAGTCTGGAGCATTGTGTCCAGTTCTGAGTTCCTCAGTTCAAGGACAATGATAAATTGAAGCAAACTCAGAGGAAGATGACCAAGATGGTGAAGCATCTGGAGATAAAGTTGTATGAGGAACAACTAAATGATCTTGGTATGTTTACCTTACAAAAAAGATGATTCAGGAAAGATATGATAGCAGTCATCAGATATCTGAAGGTTGTCACACAAAAGAAGGAATGGATCAGAGTAACTGGGTTAATGCTACAAAGAAGGAGATTCAAGCAAGATATCAGGAGAAATTTCTGGACTGCATAGGCTATCAGCTTGTAGAACAGGCTGCCACATAACATGGTGAATTTCCTTTGCTAGAGGTCTTCAATCAGAGATGTTTGGTGCATCCTGCACTGAGCAGGAGGTTGGACTCAGAGACTTTTACGGTTCCTTCCAGCTCTATGACTGCATGGAAGGAGGTTCAGGATTCCGTCCACCTTTCCATGCATCAGCAGGATGACTCCAAAAACTAAACAAAATAGCACCAATTTTGAGATCAGAAGTGGGTGAAACCCGCAACACAAAGTTCAAGTTTGAAAATGTGCTGGGTCTGCCTTGGGGAAAATAATCCAGGAAAAAGAAAATCCCCAAAACATATCTATGGGAGAACTAGTAAGACAGTGGCCCAGATTGCTGCAAATGCTCCATTCTATGGCCCCTCCCTCCTCCTTGCTGGTCACATGTCCCAAAGTGAAGCATATGTAGGCTACCTTATGTTTCCCACATGCACACAAATGTAACATCAGGAGAAAGTAGAAACACATACACACTAATAGATGTAGCACATTACTTCATTGCAGAGAGGAAAACAGAGAGGTTGCTTCTGGCCACTGCTGGTAAAGGAGCTAGAACAAATTAAAGATGCCATTCCCTGCATGCTATCCCTAAACAGGAAGAATTTAAACAAGGTATGCTGGTGGTCAGGTAAAGGTTAATGTTAGTTGTGCTCCATATGACAGCCTGAATTTCATCATTGGTGGGGAAAAGATCCAGTAATGCTGAGGATGCATTGGAATAGAACAGGAAAAGCAAGGAGGGAAATTCAAGGATCGACAAGTAGGAAGAAAATATGGAGGTAGACCTGTCCTTTTCTAAAACCCAACATGGCCATGAGGGAAATGAGGGAAAATGAGAAGATGTTTTTCTTCTTAAAGCTACAGTAGTAAAATGTGACAAAATATAACAGAGTAAAAGACATAAAATTGTAACATTTCCATAACATTTTATTGTCATTTTTTGAATTAATCTTTTAGCCACACTGGTTCAGCAGTCTGGGCAACACAATCGCATCAACTTTGGGGGTTGCCAGACTGGCCAGGCTGCTCTGTCAGGTAAGCATCTGTCCACCCTACACACTTGAAGATGACTAGAAGATACAGTGGAGCAGTGTTTCTCAACCTTGGCAACTTTAAGATGGGTGGACTTCAACTCCCAAAATTCCCCAGCCAGCCTTGCTGGCTGGGGAATTCTAGGAGTTGAAGTCCACCCATCTTAAAGTTGCCAAGGTTGAGAAACACTGCAGTAGAGTATAGTTGTTAAGATGAAAGACATGGATTAGGGAGAGCAAGAATGAAATCCTCACTCAACCATAGCAGTCATTGGTGATCTTGTCTCTCTCTCTCTCTCTCCCCCCCCC